TCCTCCTCCTCCTCCTCCTCCTCCTCCTCCTTCTTCTTCTTCTTCTTCTTTCTTTGGAAAATTTTCAAACCTTCAGAAAAGAGACAAGACTGAACAATACAATGAACATCACACACTGCTCTTTGCCCATATCACCCACTGCAAATCTTCACCCTCCTCCTCTATGTATACGCATTTGCTTATTAAATCAGATCTTTCACACTAGAACCCTCTTATCTAATTACGCCCAATCTGGGATACGACTAGGAGTCACCTCAGATGCCTTCTTACAGGCAAGAAGACATTTCTTCAATAAAGATGTTCCCTTAAGCTTGGAATGTAAAGGAAATTAGAGCTAAGACTTGAGCAGTGCTGTTTAACACAGAGATTGTCCCTCAAAGACTGGGCACAGGATTTGCCCTGGCCTGACCTCTCATGCTTTCTCCACTCTGCCCCAAACCACCAGGACCAGGCTATTTATAAACTAAATAACTTTCTGAAGATTGTGATGGACTGAATTATGCACCCCCCCCAGAAAATTTCACATCCTAATCTCTAGACTTTGCAGATATATTACTTCACATGGTCTAGGGGACTTCGTACCTGTGATTTGAGGAAAGATCTTGGCATAAGGAGATTATCCTGGCTTAAACAGATGAGCCCAACGTAATCACAAGGGACTGATAAGAACACTGAGTAGTAGATGATGTGTTGAAGGGATGCAGGTACTTTCCACAAGTCCACAGGGGAAGAACAGATCCCCCAACAGCCTCTGAAAGGAGCGCTGTTCTGTGTAACCATTTTAGATTTCTGGCCTCCACAGTATAACATGATTTTCAAGCCACCAAGTTGGTGATAACTGTTACAGCAACAATAAAAAATGAGCTGATGCATCCTTTGGGGCTATGGCTTCCCCTCATCAGTTGGATATGAACCACCTTTAGCAGCAATAGCCAGCAGCCTGCACTTTCTGTTCTGCCCACCATGGCCTGTCCACACTGACCTCTGTCTTCTCTGGACACCTGATGGTCAATTGTGTTTTCTGCTGAGCCATCTTCACTCCCAAGGACATCCATTAGCCCATGGGACATTATCTCCCTCCTCAAGCATTGGCTTTCCCACAAATAGGGGTGTGGGAGCCACAGGTCAGGTTTGCTGTCAAGACAGACTCCTTTCCTCCTTTGACAGACACGACCTGCGTGAAAGATTGCCCAGAGGGC